TTAGGATCTGGAAATGGGACAGTGGGCTCTGGTAAACACTTGGCAAGTCTCGTTTCGTCCAGCATCGGTTGCACTTCTTCTTCGGCAATGGGCACGAATCTGTCGTCGATTGGGAGAACTTTCTGAGTGAATGTCAGTGCAGCCCATTGGAGTACGGGGAAACTGCCACAAGATGTATCCTTTTCCAGATTCTCAAACGATGTGTCGCCGGTTTGAAGCGTAGTGGTCTTCTTTGGACCGGCGTCGCCTGGTTGAGACAGCATATCGGCCGTGACGGGGTTGGGAGACAATAGAGGAGGAATCAATGTCGTTATCATGAAGGTTGTCCACCTACCGGCATGTTTCGAACAGAGAATGAAATCGTAAGGACTCCGATGATAAAAGGCATCTTATTCAGAAATCTGCAAGCAACTTACTCGTCCATATCATCCTTGTAATAGCTCACCTCCTCATTCTTTTGCTTTGACATCATCGGCGGCAGAGGGGGTGGTGGAATTTTCGGTAGAGCTGGTGGCATGGCAGCAACTTCTTCGGCAATAAATTGTGGCAGCTTGTCTGGCAATGGCAGCAGGTGGTTGTTTTTGTGGCTTCAGCAAGTGGATTCGATTCGATTCTCCTATTGCAATCTACCAGCTGTAAGACTGGTTCCATTGCTCAAGACAGGTTTCATCCAAAAAGCAGGCTAAGAACACAGCAAAATGAAAGCAGGATTCGTCAGAATAAATAAATATTTGAAACTTTGAAAACTGCTTGAAGGAACATCTGCGAAATGGGGTATTTTGTGATTTTATTGAAATTAAACCTACCCCAGATCCATAAAACAACAGGTTACAATGGAACCAGTCTTCTGGCTGGTAGCAATGTGTTACAGAACTGTACCGGTACATGTATTGTGCTCCTTTGATTAGATACTGTACCACAGCTCTAGTACATCGTACGGTACTAGTATCCGGTAGCCCCACAGGAACTGGCACACTTGAACTGGCACACTTCGATTTTCGCGATCATGCATGAAGCTTCAAGGAATGAATGGATCTTGTTCGAAATCCCGAGGAACATCTTCGAACATCTATCCCTTTTCACAACCGTGAAACCAACTCCATTTCCGTGAACATGTATGTAACATTTTCATGTTTCCATTGGATGGGCTTCAGGACCTTGTGTGCACCTTGCATCTAATAACCGTGTCCAACTCAACACACCGCATCCCCAGTCCCCAGCTGATTTCTCAACACCTCAGCATTGCCCTTGCTCCAGCAGCTGCAATGTGCCTCCAAGCGCGTTCCTGCTACCGGTACCGGCTACCGGTACTACATTGAGCCAAAGAGTTGAATTGAATCGAATCATTCAATCAAACGCGCTCGGTAAGGGGCTGTTGGCGAGCTCTCGGGATGATGAAGAAGTGCCGGTATTGCTTACCACGCCGTGGCGGAGTCGAGTCTGATCTAGGACACTGCAGCAGCAAAAAGGAAAGTAGCTAGCTAGCTACGGTACCATGTATCTGCTTGAGCTAGTAAATCAGAGTTATTGGTAGGTACTAGTTGGTGTTACAAACTGCACTGCAAATTTTCTAGATCGACGAGTACTAATAAGTTGGTGCGTATATATGAATGAAGAAAGTCAATTTTTGCTTGGAAGAGATGGAGAAATGCCACCCGCGGGCCTTTTACTCCTCCCACAGAAGGTCCTCAATCAACTCTCCCTTGTTGTTGCGGAGTTCAAAGCTCAATGGCAAAAAGTAGTCGTACATGCCCTCTTTGCAAGAAGAGCTGGGTGTATTGATTTGAATACCTCCTAGAAGAGCAATCTTGCCGTCACCGGCGACTTCACCGCATCCCTTTGCCACAATTTTTCGAAGCAAATCCTGCTGTGCATCAAAGAGCGCAAACGGCAATTCCACATTCCTGTTCTTGGCTTGCTCCAATCGTTCTGCCTGTGGAAGAAGCAGGCTATTGACAAATTGTTGTTGGGCATCCTGAGGATCACTAACGCTCACAGCATCCGTGACCTTTTTGCAGTACTGCTCGTGCACAAATCCAGAAGCAGCTGCTGCACTACCACAACATGCTCCAATTTTCTTGCGTCCAATTCGATCAATGGTACCAACATTTCCCTTGGAATCCACTCCCACATGAGGACCAAAGACAATCAAGCAGGATCCATCGTCTGGAATGTGATGGGCCATGGCACCAAAACTGGTCACTCCACCAAAGGCAAATCCCGCCAAACCACCCATGCTGAAATTGTTTCCATAGACAGCACTAAAGTCATCAATCAGAGGTTTGTTGACTTCATCGCAGCAAAGAGAAGTAGCCAACAGGGTTGACTTCTCGTTGTATCCGCACTCGGCCAATTTCGCTTGAACACGAGATACCAAGGCATTGTTGGGCATGGCGCGAGGGAAATGCTGGGTGATGGATTCCACAGTGGGCTGTGTTGTGTAGGCAGGCAGAAATAAAAGGTTAGCCCGGTACAAGACAAGATATAAATCAAGTCAATGTCCACAAAACCATGGCTGACTTACCAAAATGGCGCTGCGATGAGCCATAAAGTCCTCCACTAGGGCTCCCTTGTTGTTGCGTAGCTCGAATCGGAGTGGCAAAAAGTAGTCCTGCATGCCAGGTGGAGTATTGATCTGGACTCCGCCGACCATGGCAATTTTTCCACGTCCGCCCACATTGGAGGCACCCTTGGCGACGATCCTCTGCACGAGTTCGTTTTGGGCATCGAACAAAGCCTTGGGAAGCTCTGCCTTTTTGTCCTCTGCTTCTTCCAACCTCTTTCCGTATGGCAGGAGCAAGTTGTTGACAAACTGTTGTTGCGCATCGAGAGGATCATTACTGATGGTGTTGACACTGTTAAAGGTGTTGACACTGTCATCGGTGATCTGTTTGCAGTACTCCTGATGAACATATCCAGCAGCGGCGGACGCACTGCCACAGCAGGCACCTCCATGCTTGCGTCCACGTCGATTGACGGTACCAACATTGCCTTCCGAGTCGACTCCGACATGAGGTCCATACACAAGCAGACAGTTTCCTCCATCGGGAATATGATGGGCCATGGCTCCAAAGCTGGTGACTCCGCCAAAGGCAAATCCCGCCAAGCCACCCATGGTAAATGTCTGTCCAAATTCCCGTTCCAAATCGTCCACCAAGGGTCGGTTCAATTCATCGCAGCACAACGCCGTGGCAACCAGTGTGGTGTTGCCGTCATAGCCAGAAGCAGCCAGCGTGTTTCGGAGCAACGCCACCAACTCATTGTTGGGAACGGCGCCAGGAAAGGCTTCGTGGATGGACTTTAACGTGGCCTGATATTGTCAAAAATAAAAAAGAGTGAAAAAAAGAGAGAAGTCAGGCACTGAAACTCAAATTGGTGGTCGTCCAACCAGCACCAATGCACCCCTCCGCCTGTACCGTACTGACCTCAACGTCCACATAATGATGATCTCCCGAAACGGAGGAGATTTCTGTTGCGGCAGTGCCGACACTTCCCGAGTCCTTGCTGGTGGAATGGGACTTGGACCTTTCGCTGCTTCGCAAGAGAAGCAAGGCCGCTGCTGAGGCACTGAAAACAGAAAGAGCAGCAGTGCTGACGACCGAGGAATTGGACGACATGGTGGCGCTTTGATTGATGGCTGGGATCGATCCAAAATTGAAGGGTGAGAATTTATGAGATTGAGCAGAGTATGATTGATTGATTGAGGAGTGGTGAAGTGCTCACTGGCTCTCGGCTGCTTCCGGCTTCCGGTAAAGGGATCCACCTTTCAATGTCAACAAATGGCAGCAGTTGTGTCAAGCAGTTGCTTCGCAGAAGCCCTAAACAGGTTGGGAGCCGCTGTGACAATGCCGGGAACTGCTGGAAGAACTTGTGGTTGACAGTATTAATAGAGGGTTCGCCAAGCTTCTCCTCCTCACAGCTTCACGACCTCTGCTTTTGTTACACTTGTCTTGCTTGGTGGAGAGGGGTGGATGCTCCTCTTGGAAGGCGTATACCGGAACGCAAAATCCGAAGGCTATCGTTTCAATAGATCAATAGCATGTCCGCATAGTTTCAGAATTACGTGTGCCAATGTCTTCTATTGATAGTTGTTTGTCTTTAAATTTAAAATGTATTTTAAAAACTAAAAGCCACAAACGGCAAATCTAATCACAATGTCACATTTACTAATCGATAAATATACCAAATTGTCTGTTCGAACAGTTGGACATTTTCAATAGATTCCAGTACGGACTGTACAATGCACGAATGAAACATCAGATTATTTCTCCAAGCAAGAAAGCGTGAGCTCACAAGCAGAAGGGTTGCAGTTGTTCCTTCTTTTGTCGTATCCGACACTTCTTCAGACTTGAGTTGATTAAGGGTTCACACGACATTCTTTCTCGGGGAATTGTTCTCCACCAGCTGGTTTTTCTCTTATGCTAATTCTCCGCGGTTGTGACGCGGTTCTCGTTTCCGTGACCTTTCTACTATGATACCTGGTACAGGCAGCTTCGTTTCTACTAATTCAAACGCGAGCCGTGCTTATTCGTACATTTCGACACCAGCACTCGTAGAAGTGCACCAGAAAAGCCGGCACGCGTTTGAATCAGAAAAATCGAAGCTGCTCGTATGATAGCTAGCTAGATGCACAACGATACGTCATTGCAGACGTCATCATAATGTCATCAATCAAACCTAGCAAGTCTCAACCTGATGCAAGTCTGGTACCAATACCAGTAAAGGTAACTTCTAAATGTACATGTAGTACCGGTACCAGTAGGTACAATTGTAGTCAGCATAAGCTAGCTAGATACAAAGGTTCAGGTGGCTGTCTCGTGATGCTTTCGCAAGATCCGCACTTTACATAACTGTTGCAAAGAACTCACCACTCGAATGCCCACCAGATGCAGATGATGTTGGCAAGCCCGAGACGGTGCCAGCAGCGATCAAGAGAGGAGAGGGATCTGAACCACGAGCACAAACATGAGATATGGCCATGGCATTGTTCGAGCGGCCTTCTGAAGTCGTCAGGCTTGACACATGCAACTGCAAGACTCGATTCGATTGAATCATTCAGCCGCATCGAAATAGTGAACATGGCAGCAAAAACCATGATGTGTCCAACAAAGAAAAGCCTTGGAGTCACAATGCAAGCTGCATCCAACTGGCTTGTGGACCACCCCGCTCCTTCATCCCACGACAGGGTGGATATGGTCGCGCTGGTAAGAGCCGATCCTAAGCAATGGATATAAAAGAAGATCGGTTGCGCCAAGGTCACTCCATAGTTTCATTCTCGTACATGTAGTCTATGACTGCCGCGACAGCCACAATCATGCTCCTTTTATCCCCGTTTCGGGGTGTTGGGGTACTTTGTGCCTCTTTCTCATTCATGCGTCAGCCTTCTTGCCGTTTTCTCATTGCGCCTTGTTGCCGCTTGCCACCGCATCAAAAAGCAGTCAGTGCTTGCATGCTTACACGATGTGCTATTGATAAGAGTACAGAGAGAACAACTACTGAGCACCAATAAGCGCATTTGTAACCTAACGACCTTACCATGAGCTCTCGAGCGGCTTCAGCGGCGTCCTCTCGTCGTGTCAAGCAAGAACTGGTTCGACTACTGTTTGGGAAAAGCAATAAGGAATCGACCATAATTCAAGCCACAACAACTGCCAATAAGAAACCACTAGACCATACTTCCTTCTCTTATTCCGACCTTCGAACTGCCTATTTGCAGCGCTTACAGACCCTCCACCCCGACAAGGACTATTCCAAAAGGGAGACAGATCCCCACCACCATTCCAGGCGGCACCACGAATTTGTGCAGCTCCAACAAGCATGGGATCGATACGACCAAATGGCCAAGGTTGTGGCCAACAACATCGATGCAGACTCCAGTTTTACCTTGTTTGGCGTGGGATGCAGCTTTGCAGACAATGAGCGGGAACGAGAATGGAGAAATGAAATCACCGATCAAGCTTGTCGTGGGTGGTTCTCGTCGGGGTCCTTGGCGGAAGAAGCCACGAGCGACGGAGACGATAAGAATAAGTACATGAAAGGAACATCCCAGCACATTTCTCTGCTCAATGACGAGGATGACATGTTTATCGCGGTGCCAGAAGAAACAGACAAAGACCACAAACAGCAACCAAAAGAAGACAACATAAGACCACGGCGTTCCCTGGTGGACACAAAGTTTCGGCCAAGGTCCGCCGGGGGGTGATGGCTGACCACAACGACAAAAAGTAGAGAATTACTTGCTCCAACACATACATTGGCTTATACACAACAAACCACAGACAGCTAGCCGCGTCGACAAGCAGAGGTTCTGGCATGGAGATCTGGTTAAGTTTTCTCTGGAACAACGGCAAAGACAGACATCTGTCATTGTTTCCCCTTCCCGAAATCAGAGAAACATTTTGAAACAACGCATTGCTGGTATGGTACTTTGCCTGTACGTACGGTACAGTCAAGCTCTCTTGTGGTGGATCGATGATAATACGTACCGGTACGGTACCGATACCTTTCTGATCCTCATCAGGGGAGGCACTTACAGATATTGGCAAAGTCGGGGGTGTAAAATTCACGAAGCGGCATCTGCATTGTTTTTTCCCTCCAGTTTCACAATCTTTGCCTGAAATTTTTCTTGATGGACTCCTTACTAGACTACTATCATCAAGACCGTCGTAGCTGCCGTCAGTGTCTTCGAACATGCCAGCGCTTGAATCTTCCTCTTCCACATCACTCTCTTTGTCCTCATCCTTGGAGTAATCGTGGGGGTGGACAAGGCTGAGGTATCCTTCAATGTACTCTTTGAGGTGCACATCGCGTGAATCGGGGAAGGACTGATGGGGTAAGTGGGGGTAGACACGCGACATACCCTTTCGCAAAATACTGCCTTCCCCGAGCATCTTCTTGGGATCAAAATCGGGGGCGTCTGTCCTCGGCACTAGAATGATCACCACGCGAAGGTGTCCGTTTCCCTGAACATGAGTGATGTATCCGGCCTCCCGTGAAAGTGTCATGGGACCCACAACTGCGCAACCGGTACCGGTACGGAAGCCCTTCCAATGTCACAACTACGGAATGTCCAACGCGTAAATGAGAGTCATTTCAGTCTCTTCAATTTTCATCTCGATGGTTGGTTTAGAAGTCATGCACGAAGGATTCATCCTGCCACCACTACCGGTATGAAAGCCTTGCTAGTTCCTCGAAAGCAAATTAGTGCCGTCCTTTACATGTATCAGTTACATGAAGCTGATCTTTGGATGGTGCATTTAAAAAGTGAAATTCAATTTTATTGTTACTTCCTGTATTTATAATTCTACTGACTCCTACTTCTTCCTAAAAGTTCATAGTTCATCATCATCTTCACTGCCACCATCAATAAACAAATGCATTGCATAGTGAAAAGATGTCATGTTTCTTATTCGCGAGGAACGGGAATGTGATATTTGAGTGTCGTCTGCTTTCCTTCCGCCACAGGACAATCCACATGTTCTGCCGTGAATACATCTTCTGAAGTTTCTCCGGTGCTAGGCTCCATATAGGTCACAAGCAGTGCACTTCCTGCTTCTGGCCTGACATGAGTGCCTGACTTGGGGAAATGAATTGCACCTCCCTTTTCTGGGGCATCACAAAACAGCATAAAGGTACCAATGAGAGGATGACTGATATGCTCTTCTGCCAAAAACCGACTAGCTTCGTCGCCCTTTTCATAGGTGTGCAATAGAAACAACGGTGGCAGCCTGGCTGAATTTTGCCTTTGTCGATCCAGATGGCTGGGTTCTTGGTAATAATCCAATGCTTGATCCAATGCCTTGTAGATGCGCTCCACCACAGTCCGAATGGCAACATCATTAATCGCCGACCAGTCCAGTCGATTCTTCCCTCCTTTGGCAGCATTTTCTTTCAACCACCGGCATTGCGAACGAGCAACAAAATTCTCCAATAAGATCACTTTGCTGGTTTCCGACTGGAACAAAAATTGCATTTTGGGATTTCGAGTGGCTCCCAATCCCAGATTGAGTGTTTGATTGTAAGTGGACTTGGTGGTTGGAAATTCTTCATCGGAACAGGCATAATCCACCAATTTTCGACCCATATTCTTTCGGACTCCGGCTTGGAATTCAATTTCTTCTCTGGAAACATCCAAAGTGGCATTGATTCCTTTTTGCAAACATTCGGCCCATTCTTCCAGATCGGGCAATTCTCCCGATGCCGAGGGTTCTGGCATGGGACATTCTTCGGAAACCTTTTTGGCTTTTTCCAAAGCTCGACTGCGGGCATCCATGTACGTGATGGAAATATCCTTTTCAATGGTGAATCGTTGATCATCGTTGCTGGTCACCACGAAATATGCCTTTCGACATTCTTCATTCTCGCCGCGACATTTGCCAGTCGTCTTGCGAGGGAGTTCCTGGATTTCAAATTCATGACCAATGTAGCTGTTAATGATGGAATCGGTACCCTTGAGAATTCCGGTATCAATACTCTTGACGAGTTCTTTGGTCTGAGGATTGATCCAAAAGATGTCCACCTTGACATCCGACTCGTTCACAATGTGGATGTCCCGTCCGGTTGGATTGTCGTCATTGCGAATGCGAGCATAGGCTCTGGAAGATACTACCAGCAAGAGAAGCGAGGGTAGCAGATTGCTCTTGGAAAACCACATGGGATCAAATCAAAGTCCGTCCAAAGGAAGACAACTAGTAATTTTGTTTCAATAAAAGAGGCAACCAGTTGATGAATGATCTCAATACAAAGGAGATTGAGAAGCCTGGGAGCAGCTGATGAGAACTCCAAGTTACCGGCGGGTTGCTGTGTTGTGTGTTGCTGTGTTGTGTGGATGCCACTTGCCAATGCTTGCAAGATTGGTGGCATCGAACGGTCACAGATCGAGGCACAACGGTCAAGATCGGTGCGAACTCGTGCCAGTGCCAAATCATGACTGAAACGACTTCGGTTTACAGCGTGGGACGAGCTTCCTGACTTCATTCTTTTGGAGGATCGAGGTGATGACGGCAAAGTAGCAAGCAGATGGAACGGATGAGGCCAAAGACGATAGATCCACGGAAATCCCCACAGAAGTCTCTGCTTCCGCCTGGGAGGACACCCGTACGGACTATTTGGCGACCTGCGTGAGCCAGGGAACACCCAGCGAGGGATCAAATTCCGCGGGTATGCAAAGTTCGTGGTCGATGCATGATGAAAAATCGAATCAAATCTGATGGAGAGGATTGGTCCTGGCTTCTCGCGGACACTATCGACAACTGTGGCTACGCTGAAGGCTACGCTTTCTCATCGCTTGAAGAACCCAATGATGGAGCTGATTCGCCATTGCGTGCAATGGTATTTCTTGGGTGGAGGGTGGGAAGATATTATTATTGGCTTTACAGAACTCGTGGAATGGGCCGACACAAATCCTAGCTAGAAGTCACTACTGGATACCTGAATCAGTCAGATGCTTATCTTTCCTTCCTTGGACAGGAATGCCGTCGTTCAATGCCGATGGACGAATGGACGGCAAAGCTTCCCGAGATGCGTTTTGTCCGTCTCGAGTTGCAGAAAGCAGCCAATTTGAACCGGCTAACTATGAAACCTGGTACGGTATGATCGTATCTTTCGTCCTGCACAAGATCACGATGACGAGTGCCCGTTTGTTCTTTTCAATGAGGAGATGTGCGAGATGACGCCTGGTGGACAATCGAAACCAATGAAGCCCATGGGCCAAACTTCAAGTGATGTGGTACTGTACAAGGACCATTGGCACTTTTCTAGCTCTATCGAATATAGTGCAGTTCAACCTTTTTGTAGGCACGTATATGCTCCTTTTGATCGAGGACGATGCCGTACCTGAAACTTGCATACGGTACATTGTACATTTTACGCATGGTGGTTCTCAACGTCCTTCATGAGCTCGGGATGATGAGCTGCTCTTCATGGCTTGTGGCTCCAAGAGCATAAAGTAGGAGCAAGTGTGCGTCTAGAGGAATGTACCGCGGATCCGATGATCTGCCGCACCTCTGCAGCCTCCTCATTCTTCATTCCTCTTCCAACAGACCAGAGACGAGCAATGATAATGGTCACCTACAGATGGTTACTAGAGCTACACAAGTGCATTGCTCATGTTTTCGCTTTTGAGTCAATTAGACCACTGCGGTCGCGCTGGTGCTGTTCGTTTCAGCGGTGGCCATCACCAAACAGCCTCGTATTTTAATAGTAGTCACGAGTAGTAGTCACGAGTAGTAGACTCACCTGTCCACTACAAGTTACCAACCACCGTGGTATCCAAGAAGCATCGACAGCCATGTTAAACAAATCATCAGTTGATTAAGGTATATCTGAAATCTCTGCTTGGCCGCACCCCATATTGAACAACTCCGTTCGTTTTGTATGGCACTGATGGCACGGCAACCATGCCCGCACAAATCAGCCTTGCAATAAGATCCACACACAAGAAGACACACACAAGAAGACACGATCTTCTTTCTTTCTCTGAAAAAACGATTGGATAAGTACTGGCTGGGTACCACTCATGACTTCATTGCCCCCAAGCAAGAACGACACTTGTACTCAAAGAAGTCTGTAGTCCTCTTTCGATTTCGGCACCCATGTAATCAGAAAGGATACCACAGGAGGCTCACACTGCCTGGGCGACGGACCGGATGTTTGATCACCACCACTTTGAGACCTTGGACATACGCCTCCCAAGCATTACACGGAAGCTGTGCCAGCCTGCATTTTCGGTTGGTTCTGTTTGAGCGTTGGCGGTGATACAAGAGACTCATGTCATGAGGGACAGAATGCGTGTGACTTACTCTGGAGCGCAACGGCCTTGAGAAAACGCAAAAAGGCCCCGCAACACAAATACGCGGAAGCTATGCCCAAAATTTTTGGGACACGGCGCTGGCCATTGCCCACAAGCAAGGACGAAACTTTTGCTCAAAAAAGTCTGTCGTTCTCTTTCGATTTCGGACCCAGACCATCAAAAGGATACCACAAGAGGCTCACACTGCCTTGGTGAGGGACCGGATGTTTGTGAATTGTACCAAAGTACAATGACTTTGACCCTTTGAACCTACGTCTCCCAAGAAATTACAAGGAAGCTGTTTCGGCCTGCGTTTCGGTTGGTTCTGTTTGAGTGTCAATGGTGATACAAGACACTCATGCCATGAGGGACAGAATGTGCGTGACCTCCTCTGGAGCGCAACGGCCTTGAGAAAACGCAAAAAGGCCCCACAACAGAATTACGCGGAAGCTATGCCCAAAAATTTTGGAACACGGCGCTGGTCCGAAACTGACATCGATCATGTGAGAACCACGTCATGTTTGTGACTTCCCCTCTGGAGCACAATGGCCTTGAGCCGATCTCCAAGAACTCCACACTGAAGAGATCCAGAACATGCCCAAATCAGAGGACGCCAGAATCAGGCCTGAAAACCCGGCAAAAATCCAAAACATGTCCCATTCAGAGGACTTCAGAATCAGAGCCAGGCCCAGAGCACCACTCCACCAAAGTGGCAGCACTCCACCAAAGTGGCCCAGCAGAAATGCAAAACATGTCCCATTCAGAGGATGTCAGAACCAGGCCCGGAGCAGCACCACTCCACCACAGTGGCCCAGCAGAAATGCAAAACATGTCCCATTCAAAGGATGTTCAGAGGATGTCAGAACCAGGCCCGGAGCAGCACCCCACCAAGTGGCCCAGCAGAAATGCAAAACATGTCCAATCAGAGGATGTCAACCAGGCCCGGAGCAGCATCCACCAAAGTGGCCCCGCAGAAATGCAAACATGTCCCATTCAGAGGATGTCCAAACCAGGCCCGGAGCAGCACCCACCAAAGTGGCCCAGCAGAAAATGCAAACATGTTCCCATTCAGAGGATGTCCGAAACCAGGCCGGAGCCACCACTCACCACAGTGGCCCAGCAGAAATGCAAAACATGTCCCATTCAGAGGATGTCGAACCAGGCCCGGAGCAGCACCACTCCACCACAGTGGCCCAGCAGAAATGCAAAACATGTCCCATTCAGATGATGTCAGAACCAGGCCTGGAGCAGCACTCCATCTAAGTGGCCCAGCAGCGATTCAGAACATATCCTATCAGAGGATGTCAGAATCAGGCCCGGAGCAGCACTCCACCAAAGTGGCCCGGCAGAAATGCAAAACATGTCACAGATGAACACAAACTCGGGACACCCTCCAGGTGCAGAAAACCTCCCCCACCAAAGGGTCACTCAACCCCTGCAGGCAACAGATCTTACATGTGCGAAATTTGAAGAACCACCCCCCTCACACAAGTGCACCAAACTTGTCCGGCACAAACCGTAAGGCCAACCAGCCTATCCACAATAGCAGTGGCCTAGCCAGCAGAAATCCAAGGAGCAGACCACTCCACCCTGAAGAGATCCAGAACATGTCCCAATCACTCCGCCAAAGTGGCCCAGCAGTGATCCAAGGAGCAGACCACTACAGTAAATCTCCAGAGAGGAGACACACTCCACACTGACGAGATCCAAAGCATGGCCTGCAGCAATACCACACTACTATGCCCAGAGCAAACCAACTCCACAAATGGAACAGTACCGGAAGAGCGCCTTGGCTCCAACAGGACCAGTGGGACATCCAGAGTCACGCCCACGATGTTGCCCCCTAAACGCCTGTTCCAAGGAACTTATCAGAGTCCTAGCAGCACTATGGGCCCCCCAGTTCAGGGCCAGTCCCTCCACTGAGAATCCGAGCACGGGAATTCCAGTTGACACTGCCGCACAGTACCAACACCCCAACAGCTGAAGCCCCGAGCATGCTTGGAATTCCCACAACGGCCGACCCTGTCGCTGCGATCCCCACAATGGTCAGTGCAGCCACTCCAACAAAGTGGCCCAGCAAATCTCAAAGGAGCCGATCAACTCCGCATTGAAGAGATCCACAACAGTTTCTGGAACTGCAGAATCAGGCCCGGAGCAGCAGCACTCCGACAAAGAGGCCCATCATATCCTCAAGGAGCAAACCAATTCCTCCAGACCAAGTCCATCAGAGGTCATCAGATTCAGGACCGGAGCAGCACTTAAACAAGCCTTGGGGCTTAATTCCCACAATGGCCGAACCCGTCACTGGGATCTCCGCACAATGGTCAGTCCACTCCCTGACAGCCCCAGTACAGGAACCCCAACAGTTCACCTCTGGCCCAACTATTCTTGGCTCCAGTACAGGACGCCCCAGCACTACAGGCTCGGGCACTTTGTCGCCCAGCATGGTAGGCCCAAGCAAGGCTGTTTCCCACTACAAACAGCCCCAGCACCGAAACACCCACTACCATGTCCCCAATAAGTACTGCAAGGAGCCCCAGCACGGGTAGTCCATCCACCGCCGGCCGATCTCAGAGCAGAAGGGAGCGGAATAGCTCCACCCGAAAGGACTCTGAACAGAACTTGGGAGCAGATTAGCTCCATTAGTTCTGACCGTAAGAGCGGATCAACTTCACAAACGAAGTTTCAAATCAGTCAACAAGGGTGCATAGCGCACCAAACCGATCCCAGCAGGAAAACTCCATCACAGGAGATCCAGAAACTGGCCATATGCCAGCCCCAAATCCATGAAACTAGGCCAAAGCCCAAACCTCAAGGGTCCATCCATCTGTTTTGAACCAGTTGCAGTGTCAGAGCCCAGACAAGTGACAAGTGATACAAGCCCCATCAGAGATTTTTACTGTTCATCCTGGCAGTCCAGAAATCAGCAGGTTGGTTGTCACACTGGTCCACAAAGACATCACAAAGATGTGTTGTGAGTGTCTTCCATAAGCTCAATCTCAATTTAGTGATTCCAAATCTGCCACCACTACCCAGCACGAGCCTGAGACTGTGCTAATCCGACTGGACCTGCTGCCAATCAGCCACTCTGGCAATTACAGAGTCTTCATCTGATTCCACAGGCAGGATTTTGGTTTTACACTCCAGCCACTCATGGTGACTCACTGATCCACACTTTAAAACCACCAGTTCCAAATCCATTCAAAGCCAAAGAGCTGATCCACCTCAATGATCAGCACAAGCATCAATGACAGGGTAGACCCCTTGGCCAACCCCTAAGGCTCCCTGCGACCTCTGGCCCAACTATTTTGCCCCCCCCCCCAGTACAGACAGCTCCAGCACCACGGGCCTGGGCTCCTTGTTGGCTAGCACGGTTGGCCCCAACAAAGCTGGCCCCAGCAAAGCTGTTCCCCGTACAGACAAACCATGTCCTCAAGTACTGGATGCTAGTGCCAGGGCCTAGCAGTGCATCCACCGCCGGCCCAAGTGCGGTAAATCCCAGTATCAAATTTGGTGGTCCCTGATCTGCCACCAACTCTGTACTTATCACCAGATCCCATAAGATTTTGACTTGGCAGGAGCAGCCCAACTTCGAGCAGACCAGTGTCATCCAAGGTGGTACCCTCTTTCCAATCAGATCTGCAGCAATGAACGCCTCTCAACCAATCCTCCAAGGTTGGCTGGTGTCGAGCACTCTCAGGCAAAATTGAAGGTCCTACATTTGGCAAATGACAGTTTGCTGGGAGCACAATTGCCGCAGCCCAACACCAGGCCCCTAGTCTTGCTGCGGAACCTCAACAAGGGACTCAGTTTTCTCATCTGTACAGGACTGTTCTCATCTGCTCAATTTGGATATTACTCCCCAACACCTGGCAGTCCCCTCAACTACAGTGATCCTCAGAGCAAATTGGCCTACCAAATCAGTCTGAAATACCTTGCAGAGAAAGACACACTCCACCACACCAACTTCAGCACTCAGCTCTGGCTTGGAGCAGACTCTACCTGAAGGCAGAGGTGAAGCAATCACTGACAGCCACAGGACAGGAAGCCCAAGAACCTCTGGCCCAAACTATTCTTGGCCCCGGCACCGAAAGCCCCGGAGCACTACAGTCTTGAGCACCGTGTCGCTCGCTAATCAGACTGGACCTGCTAGTACAGAGTCTCAAACTCAAATTCAAATGAAGTGAGCACTCAGCACTCCGCTATGGGGTGCACCAGCATCAGGCAAACCCAGAGCAAACCACCTCCACAAATGGAACAGTACTGGAGGAGCACCTCTTGGCTCCAACTGTACCGATCTGTGGGTCAGTCTTTGCACTACGTGTTCTCCACATTGACCGACCCCGTCAGCCACTGTGATTCCCATGATGGTCAGTCTAATCTATGACAGCCCCAGTACATGGAGCCCAAGCACCTCTGGTCAAAACTATTATCGGCCCCAGTGCAGACAGCCCCAGCAATACATGCTCGAGCACCTTCTCGCCCATCACGGTAGGCCCAAGCAAGGCTGTTCCCCAGTACAGACAGGCACTCTCAGCACCGGAACACCCACTAGCACCAGCACGGGCAGTCCATCCGCCGCTGGCCATGTCCAACTACCACTTGAGACTGAGACTCAAGTACCAGCACGGAAATTCCAACAACACGGTCACCCAGTACCAAACAACAATACTGTTGCCTCGTACCGAGCGACAGCCCAACAACTGACGCCCCAAGCATGCAACAGAGTTTCACAAGGGCTGACAAGCACTGTGATCCCCAAATCAGATCTGTTGCAACGAGCAAACCACAACCGATCGCAGCTCGATAAAGCTGTTTCAACCAGCCCATGGCCCTGGGCACCAAACCATGGTCCCCACACTACTGGTTCCATGAATTGAATCCTAACTATCAACTGGCAATATCCCAGTTCAAAATCCATTCAAAATCCGCCTTGATTGATCAGCACTAGCCAGCTCCAATGTAAGAGTGGATCCCCTGACCAACCCCTTGGGCTCCCTTGGACCCACAACACTTTGCTGGTCTGTGTACACTAGCACCATCTACTGTCCCAAAAAGCACAAAGCAATAGTAGCATTAACAGCTCTATAGCCTTAAGCCCAAATCTCTTAGTACTCCTAGCTCGTAGCTCCGGCCATAGTGTAGACAGGGTAGACAATAGCCCTGGAGGTGTCCCAGAATGTCATTGCATGCATGCAAAGCTTGCCTACCTAGCTTTATGAGTCTGGCTATAATCTGTCGTGCGTTGCCGCCAGCATTATAGTCCAAGAGCATAAAGTAGGAGCAAGTGTGCGTCTAGAGGAATGTACCGCGGATCCGATGATCTGCCGCACCTCTGCAGCCTCCTCATTCTTCATTCCTCTTCCAACAGACCAGAGCAATGATAATGGTCACCTACAGATGGTTACTAGAGCTACACAAGTGCATTGCTCATGTTTTCGCTTTCCCTGACCCATCCCGCCCTTTTGTTTTTGTAAAGAGTTCACAGCTGTATGAGTGTGGCCAATGCCACCACTCACACAGCTTGGGTTAGGCACAAAGCAATAGTAGCATTAACAGCTCTATAGCCTTAAGCCCAAATCTCTTAGTACTCCTAGCTCGTAGCTCCGGCCATAGTGTAGACAGGGTAGACAATAGCCCTGGAGGTGTCCCAGAATGTCATTGCATGCATGCAAAGCTTGCCTACCTAGCTTTATGAGTCTGGCTATAATCTGTCGTGCGTTGCCGCCAGCATTATAGCTCATCATCTGACACAAAGCACACAGAGGGCCGCAGAACGTGGAAACAAAGGAGAGTGGAAGTCTCAGGACGTACGCGGAACGCGGAAGCTTGTCTTTTACTTATTATTTATTCAATAAAAACAGACATAGATATGGTTGCCGCTGCTGCCAAAAAATGTCATGGGTCATGGTTTACTTTGGTGGCTGGAGTTCCTACCCACCCCCCAATATTCGTCACCTTGACGAGGAAAACAGCTTTTACCAGTAGTTGTGGTAAATATGGGGTTAAAGCTATTGATTACTCTGAATATTTGTATCCAACATATATGTTACCAAATCTACCTGACTTTTAAGTTGTCTTCCAGCAACCCACCACTTACTTGACGCCACGTCCCTCCTCCCACAATCGGAAACAATTAATTCGTTGCATAACAAGTCAGCGGGAGCTGCGATACCTCGGCAGAAAGACAGATAGAAGAAGGATGACATGTTTGAGATTGCACTCTTCTTTCAAGGTAGCCCTGGCGACAACACACGACCCTCATTATAACCTTCTTTTAAGGTAGCCCTGGCGACAACACCCGACTTCGTCGTGTGTTGCCGCCCGTTAACCATAATTTTACGGCTGTCACTCCCGTATGTACCTGGAGCGTTCCTCAATCGTGCATGACTTTAAATCCGTCCCTAATTTAGGGTCGGTTTGGGGGAATCCGTCCTTAAATATAGGGACGTTTTTCAAACCCGACCCTAAATTGAAACCCGTCCCTAAATTAGGGACTGTTTTTCAGAAACCGTCCCTATTTTAAGGGTCGGTTTCGAAACCCGACCCTAATATTGGTGCGTTTTCAATGTATTTACCACTCAGTCCCGTTTCCATTTAGGGACGTTTTTCAAACCCGACCCTAAATTGAAACCCGTCCCTAAATTAGGGACTGTTTTTCAGAGCCAAATTATAGGGATAGAGATAGGATAAGCCAACTCTACAAATTAGGGGTAGGAATAAATCATGGTTATCAAAGGTTAGTGCACTTTAATCACAATAAGCCAGTCAGAAAGCTACAAAGGTTACAGTTACATAAAGGGAATGACAGCTGATAAAATTACTGTGTTATGCAGGCGGCAACATGGACGAGTTGGGTGTTGTCGCCAGGGCTACCTTTAAGATAAAAAGAACGGTTTATAATGAGGCGAATGATACCCAGGGGCCGGACAACACCGACGAAGTCGTGGGTCGTCGTTTGTCGCCAGGGCTACCTTGAAAGAAGGGTGCAAACTCAAACATGTCATCCTTCTTTATCTGCTCTTTCTGCCGAGGTATCGAGCCCCGCTGACTTATAAATTGTGGTATTTCCTTTCCTGTCTCCTGCTCTCCTGATTCCTGTTTCTGCTGTTTCCCTGCCTTCCTGTGTTCCCTGTTCTTCCGTGATCTTCCCCTGCTTCCTGTTTCCCCTGCCTTCCTGTCTGTTCCCTTTCCGGTGAAGCCAAATAATATAGGGGGAAAATAGAGGAAACATAGGGCCACAGCCAACTCTACAAATTTAGGGGTAGGATTAAAATCATGATTATTCAATGGTTAGTGTCACTCAACACATATAAGCAAGAAGAAGCTACATAAGTTACAGGAGCGTTCCTCATATCGCATGCATTAGAAAAAACCGACCCTAAATAGGGTCGGTATTTAGGAAGTCTGGATTCCCTTTTTTTTTATAAAGGTCGGTTTAGAAAAAACGACGACTCCTTAAAAATAGGGGGACGAGGTTATCTGAAAATAATAATAGGGACGGTAATAGTCGGGTTAAACGTCCCTAATAAGAAGGGACAGGTAATCTTGAAACCAATATTAGGGTCGGGTTTGGAAACCGACCCTAAATAGCGTTTCTGAAAATAGGGAACGGATTTCTGAAAAAAACGTCCCTAATTTATGGTCGGGTTTCGAAACCGATCCTAAAAATATGGACGTTTTCGACAGAGAGAGGATACAAACACAGACTATTTTACCATATGTGTTTGGTGGAATTGTAAGGGTTTAGACGGGAGGGGAGGCATTTTTTCCTTTTCTTGGTTATGACTGATTCTTGAAGGTATGTTGTAATATCCAACATATATGTTACCCTCTCTCTTTTCGGCCAGTTCGTGCCATGCAGTTAACCCAAATCTACATGACCTTCTATAGCTGCATCGATGCTTCTCAGCAACACCAACCACTTACTTGACACCTGGGGACCAGTCCAGGTAGAGGCATCCGGTGGGAGGCCCAACATGGTGCCGACCATGACATCCCCGCCATTCGGAGGACCTGATACGCTGGCGACAGGCCGAGCCATCCGCTTCAGCTATATCCACAATCGGAAACAATTAAGTATATCTGCATCTTCTACTAACAAGTGCAGGCGGAGCTTTGTCGATTCCCAGCTCGGCAGAAAGACATATAGAAGAATGATGACATTTTTGAGATTGCACTCTTCTTGCAAGGTAGCCCTGGCGACAACACAACCCCGACCTCATTATATACCTTCTTTTAGGTAGCCGCTGTGGCCCGACAACACCGGACTATGCGTCGGTGTTTGCGGCCCGTCTCAAACTACCATAATTCTTACGGCCTGTACTCCCGTACGAGATCACCCTGGAAGCGTTCCTGCAATCGTGCAGACTTTAAACACGTCCCTAATTTAGGGTCGGTTTCGATTTAGGGTCGTGTTTCGATTTAGGGTCGTGTTTCGATTTAGGGTCGTGTTTCGAAACCGTCCCTAAAATTAGGGACTGTTTTTTTCAGAAACCGGTCCTATTTTTAAGGGTCGGTTCAGAAAACACGACCGCTAATAATTGGTGCGTTTCAAATGTATTTTACGCCACTCGAGTCACCGTTTCCATTTTAGGGACGTTTTTATCAAACCAGACCCTAAATTGAAACCGCCGTCCCTAAATTTGGGACTGTTTTTCA